TTCACCACTCCATCTATTTTCCCTTCCACTACCCCCTTATGCCTCTCGAGTTTCTCTACGACTTGATCAAGTTTCTCTTCGACTCTTGATTGTCTTTGCATGATTTCAAATTGGATTTTTTGATATCAGCCAATTCAGACATCAAATGTCGAAGTTACTCTGTTTTGCTTCACCGTCGTCCCACTCACCTTCATCCCCCAATACTTCTTCCCTCAATACAACCATCCCTCCTTTCTTCTCCTCTGCCTCCACTGCCTCCTCTACATCCTTGCCAATAACCTTCAAAAAATTAAATTACAATATTAAGACATTGATTATATTCTTAATATTATTTAATTACATTTATTACCATTTCTTGCTTCTTCCCTCTATCCAACTTCAACTTCACCATCACTCTAACCACCTCTTCCTTCCCCCATGCACGGATGCGTGCCACTCCGGTTCTTTCATAAGCCGGCACTGCCTCACAGCCCGACCAAAAATCGAACAGTGCAACCTGCATTTATAATAAAATTAGAATTTTTATATAAAACACAAAAAAGTGATTCAACTCATTTACCTCTAATATTGCTATGCACCCTTTGAGGTATCTCTGGCTGCCCTTTTTAAAGGTGATAATTGATTCAATCAATCTCGAATGGATATATTCAGCCCAATTGAATTCACCCTTCAAGCCTTCATCGCAAATGAGCTTCATATATTCCTTGTTCGTTGACGTATCACCCGTTGGACAAAGAAATATACCGACAAGGTACAATAGAACTCGGGCCTTCAGCTCATCCCCCAAGTAAGATCCACTTTTGATATCCTCTTCAACTTCAGTATATGTCACCTTATGATTCAAACCATATTTGGAGGCAAGTGCTTTCCAGTTCTTACTCCTACAGACTTCTATAACACTTTTGCCTTTGTTTTGTACCCCCAATACGGCTGCAGCAGTCGATACCCCCAGAGGGAATGAATAATCACCATACTTAGCCATACATTGACTGACGTCAAATTGTGCCATCAAGGATCGACACAATTCCCTCCGAATAGGTCGATCCCTTACTCCGATCAACGATCCAAAACCTATTTCTCCCAGCACATTCAACTGACCCTTCTCCTTAAGGTGTTTAATTAATAAATTCACCCTTTTAATGCTGCACCTTGTCGACACTTCCTACATTTTTAACAATATAATGTTATAGTTCTATATATTTTGTATCAACGTATTTACAAGTTTAATGAATACCTTATTTTCATGTGCTTTCCTCCGTTCTTTGTATTCTTTACTATCATTCCTTGACTGTGTGATGTAAGGTTCCTTTTCAGCATCACTCATTGAATTCCATTTGGACCTCACATCTTTTTTCACCTAATATTAAACATAAACGTTTCTTAATCAATACATTAACACTAAAACTAATACTACTCAATGTCAATTTCATTTTACATACCGAACCGCTCTGTGTGCCATCTCCCTTCATCCTTTTGCATTCGGCCATACTGTTAACATTTAAAATTTGTAATCAATTTAAAGTTTATCGATACTTTAATCCAATTACCATTTCAACAATAATAACAAAAAGACATTGATACTTACTAGAAGTACATATATCCACCCTTTGGTTGCTTTCGAGTCTCGGCCTCAATTTCAAAGTCATCTGCTCCACCAACAATTTTCCAACCCATTGACTCCATTTTTCCTTCATATATCAGTTTACGCAAATCAAATTATTTTGTTACATACACTTTTCAATATACAAATATAGATAACTACTCTTGTGGTAAAACGGTTTTCTTCAAAAGAATTTGAATGGCCACACCAAAATGTGTCGGCACATTTATACAACCTATAATATCATTTTCTACCTATAATATTTAATAAAAGTATCGACATTTATCGTTTTCCTTGAATATCTATTTCTACCTGCAATCGGTCCCAAATGCTTCCTTACTCCAAAACCCCAAACAACACATAAAAAACCCTATCGCGATTACTGTAATAATAAAAAATTAGGGTTTCGACAACATACTTTTCGATTCGACTGCAGCAACAAACAAACAAACTTCGCTTTAGAAACGCCTTCTGAAATGCAGCAACAATTACTCTTCGATTTCAAAAACTCGTCCGTTCTATCTATTTTCAGAGGATATTTAGCTTATATTTTCATCGGATATGTTATTTATATTTAATCGATACAAATACAAAAGTGTCGATACTTTTATGTCAGGTGTCGATACTTTCGAAAGGATAATTACCTATTTCTTTGAAAGTGTCGATAATTTATTACACGTACTTACGAAAGTATCGACACTTTCAATATATCCGGTATCATTTTACCGTTTTTATCATTTTGATACCGGTTTTATCATATTTTACCTGTTATATCGTTGTGGATCGATATTTGTTTTTAAAGTATCGACACATTATAGGCGCTATAACTGCTTCTCTTTTAAATTCACAAAGTGTCGATCCTTATATAACGTATCGACACTTTTAATTTTACCGGTTTTATCATTTTGTTACCGGTTTGATCATAATTTTACCTGGTATATCGTTTTGGATCGATATATTTCTTAAAAGTATCGACACTTTTTAGGATTTAAAACTGCTTTAAAGTTATGTAATTTATGTTTCAATTATTTAATAGTGTTTTATGTTTTCCACCTACAATATTAATTTAATAATTTAATTTACACAAAATTTTATTTGATTGTTTTGATATTTTATAAAATATTATTTAGAATTTAAATTTAACAATATTAACCAAATATAATAATAAATATGTTTTCAACAGTGAAATAAGTATGGACACTTTTATAAAAATGATATATACTTTTTTGAAAGTTATGTAATTTATGTTTCAATTTTTTTAATAGTGTTTCATGTTTTCCACCTACAATATTAATTTAATAATTTCATTTACACAAAAAATTATTTGATTGTTTTGATATTTTATAAAATATTATTTAGATTTTAAATTTAACAATATTAACTAAAGATAATAATAAATATATTTTCACAGTGAAATAAGTATGGACACTTTTATAAAAAGGATAGATAATTTACAATATAACAGGTAAAAATATGACAAAACCCAGATTCATTATGACAAAACCGGTAAAATTTACTTGATATGTTAAAAGTATGGACACTTTTATAAAAAGGATAGATACTTACCGATAACCAAAGTTTACCGGTTACCAAATTTTTTAATAGTTTTTCATATTTTCTACCTAAAACATTATTAGTTGTCAACATAATAGGTACCGCTAAACCGAATTTATTAAATACATTTTAATGTATCCGGTAATGCTGTATATTAGCCGTATATTAACCCGCCTTTCCTGAGACATTCCCCTAAGTTATCGCTTGCATTATTAAAAATATAATTTCTTATTTTATTTTTGCCGCTAACGGAACTCAGTCTCTGTCCGTGTAAATCTCACAGGAAATTCAGCGTCCCTGTGAATTGAGATTTGTTCGACTGTATTGTCTATTTAAAGCCGTGAGTAGCAGTTGAGATGTATATCATAAAAGCATATCTCTGCAGCTACATATATTAAAAGAATAGCTTTCGGGAAGCTTTTTGTTTTACTCATTGCTTCTTATGTAATGAATTTTTTAGGGTCAAGTATTAAGTTATCACTTAATTTTAACTTTTTTCTTGTTTTGATCACTAAACTTTCAAACTTTTCAATTTGATCATTGATTTTTTTAAATTGCTCCATTTCTTGTCACTCGACCACTAATACTTGTAATACTTGTTTGGTGTTATATTGGACATTTATCCTTTAAAAGTTATTAAATGGTCATAAAACTCTCTTCATTCTAAGTTAAAAACCCTTGTTTCATATTCCCTTTAATTTTTCAACGATGGAGCAACTTATTCCAAATTTCAACATGGTGTTGTGATGGAGATTGTAGATTTGAGTGATTTGGGAATTCACGAGTTTTGATTTTGAGATTGAGTTTTGAAGAGATTTTTGGAAAATATAAATTGATAAGAGTATTATGGGACGACGAGACGAATTCTTCATTTTCTTGAATGATTGAAAAAGATATATAGAAACAGTATTTCCAACGCTTACGTGAAGCAGATATGAAATTATAAAAGTTTCATCTTTACGGAAGAAGACAATATTAAAAAAGAAAAGAAAAGAATTAAATAGCTAACACACAACATCCATGTAAGCAAAAAAGCAGTCCACGTCAAAATAATATGCCAGATCATCTTGTTGCATCCGATCTAATGTCCGAGTAACTAAAATAAGAATAATTTAAATCAAATTAAAATTTTTAAAGTTCAATTACCAACATAGAGATACAATAAAAGTTGAGTGACTATATACATAGTTTACTCTTTTTTTTTACTATTAAACATGTTTTTTTAGAAAGACGCTAATTTTATTAAAATTAAGAAATATCCAGAATTATAATAAAGATTTACGAGCATAATCGTAAACGTCAACTAAATTATAATTATGACATTTTTCTTATAGCCATCGAAACAAAAACTAGCCACCTAGATCACACAATGACCACAAAAGGAAAAATTTTAAAAACCTAACCAATGCTCGAACAAAATAAAGATACGAACAAATCTGACTGCATCAGCAAACGAACTACAAAAGGGGATGAAACTACTAAAAGACCACGACAAATCGCAAATCAGAGTCAAGCGACGTGAAAAACCTATCATTGAGCGCAAAACGATTATCCAAATCAATCCGAGGGTCTAAAGCATGAAAGATTCGTATAATAATAAATAAGTGTTATATTAATCAGTTGTGACGATGTCAAATCTAACCCTGAGAAAAAAGATAAATGAAAGCAACAACCGAAAACTACCAAAAGACAAAGATTAAATTTAAAGATCCAAAATTAAATCGTTTTAGTATAAGTTATCATGTCATAATTTCGCTAAATAATTAACCGTCGACTCAAAAAAATCTAATGTATAAAGTTTAGTTACTAAATGTGAAATTTACCCATTAAATTATAAAAGAAGAAAATCCCAACAAACAAACAAGAAAATATTTATATTATTCCACGTGTCGTTGATGTGCTCAACTTCAATCTCCCATTTCTTTGATCTTCTTCATTCTTCAACTTACAGCCAGAAATTGCACATCTGCTATGGCGGAGCAAATGAAAGGCGCGGCCGTAGGCGAAAATAACTGCACCCGCAGTGAGGAAACGCTCCAGGATGCCCTCCACCGTTTGATTTCGTCGATCATCTACCCCGAAGCATCGGCACCCCTACTGCAGCGGATCAAGATCTCTGTTTCGGAGAATGTGCCTCGCCTTGGCGAAGCCTCCAGAAACACTAGCCGTTCTGTTCTGCAGTGGACCCGTCGTGGCAGCCCCCTTCGTGCTCTTATCGTCATTTCTGTGAGGGGTTTTCCTTTTCTATTTTCAAATTACTTTGTTAAACAATTTCTTGATGCTCTTCTGCTTTAGAATTTCTATTTTTATTTAAAAGTAATGCATTCTTGATCATCACTCTTTCATTTCTCATTTTATTATTCCTATCTGTTTGATTTGATGCTATAACAAAAGTAAAGGGAGAACAAATATTGATGAAACCCATCTAAGCAGCTTTTAACATTTTGATGGCGTTAGATTTTTAACTTTTTTGTTCGTTTTTATTAAGTGTGATTTTGTTTCAGAGCAATTTTAACGAAGCAAGAACAACCCAATTAAGCTTTAATGATTACGATTTTTCAGGGTTCTGGTGATTTTAATATTTGGGGTGAGAAATAGATTATAGTTAGATTGACAGATATGTAACACAAGTGACCACTTTGGATTTTTGGGAAAACATTTTTCAATGCTAGGCACTGATATCTTTGTGTGCATCATCAGTTCTTACGCGTTAGACTTGAAGAGCTAAAGATATATTTATATTTCTCTTCAATAAGCAAAAGTCAAGTTATATGATAAAAATAAAATCTAAAATGAGTAGCACAAGTGTCAGAGTAGTTCTGGAATCTCGTAATTAAAATATTAGATCCTATAAATCAGTGTTTATATGTTTCGTCATTGCTTTTGAGTAAACATATTCCGGAGATGTTATCCTCTAAGGGTTACAGTTGCAAAGGACAGTCGAATGAACTATTTCTTCCTGAGTTCGTTTAAGAATGCTCTACAATGTGTAAGGGAACACTCACTTTAAATGAGTCTGTCTTTCTTATACTTTTGTCATTGCTTTTGACTTGTGAGTTGAACGGATGCAAAAGTCCCATAATTTATTGTGGGATAATGATTAAAACAGAATGGCCAAAATGGACCTTGGCACTTAAAATCGATGATGTATAAAGCATTGGTACATTGAATCTCTGTTAGTGCTTGAAAATTCAATGAGATGAAATTTTGCTACTGGTTTCTTCCTTTTTACATCAAACTTTTGGATGCTTACCCTAAAACTTAATGCTCCTTACATGCATTTTTTTTTATAAATTGGATAAAGTAACACATACTTCCCTGCCAAGTATCTTAGCCTAATAAGCCTTTCCTTTGGTAAGATTTTACTAATTGACTTGGAAAACTTAAATCATAATTTTTTTGCATAATTTTTTATAGTTGAGTTACATATTGTGACATGAGTTTCAAATTGCTTTTGTTCCTTCTGGTCTTTATAATTTTTCTATGTATGCCCTTCCTTGGTTTAAAAAAGCGCGCATCAGGCGTGCCTGATGCGTGATGCGACCGTTGCGATGGTCAAAGCGCATCGGGCAGCCTGATGCGGTAGGGGGTACATAATGCGGTCTGATGCGATCCGATGCGGCTGATGCGGTCTGATGCGGGCCGATGCGTTTAATAAGATTTTTTTAGGCTTTTAGTTGGACTAGTTTATGTTTCTAACTTAATTGCTGGAATGGGCTTAAAAAGCCCATATTCAATTGACCTAAATCTCTAATAAAATGTCACCTGGTTGCTGCTTTCCTCCATCGAGCTTTCCCCCTGCTATTGAAGATATGTCTGTTGAGTGCTGCCATTGAAGAAACTTGAAGGTAAGTGTCAATTTTTTTTTACATTTATCTTCGATTTTACTGTTTCTTTTCATCCCTGCCACTCGCAATAGACTTGACAAGAGGCTGCTGCTATTTTTTTCATCCCTAAGTTCTTATGTGTACTAAAACAAGTTGTTTTTTGTTGCTTAAATGAATGAATTGTTTTTACGTCCTATAGATAAATTCTTTTTGTTGCAATAGCTTTTAGTTGCAAAAGCTTTTAGCTTTTAGAAACATAAACAAGTTGTTTTTTGTTGCTTAAATGAATGAACTGTTTTTACGTCCTATAGATAAGTTCTTTTTGTTGCAATAGCTTTTAGTTGCAAAAGCTTTTAGCTTTTAGAAACATAAACAAGTTGTTTTTTTGTTGCTTAAATGAATCAACTGTTTTTACGTCCTATGATTTTACTGAAAAAACTAAATCAAGAAGCTTTAATGCCGAAATAGCTTTAAATTGATTTTACTGAAGGTTTAGCGAAGAACTGTTTCTTTTTGTTGTTGGGGTGTGTGATTGTTTTGCTACTTGCTACTTGTTTAAGCTTTTATATGTACTAAAACAAGTTGTTTTTTGTGATTTTTAGTATGGAACCAACTCCTAGTGCTACCTCAACGGTTTCAAATACAACACAACCAACAAATCAACTGATCCAGCTAGGAAATATTCTACGCAAGAGCCTACCAACAGAAACAATTTTCGTTGCCATTTTTGTCCTAAAGTAGTGAAGGGTGGTGTGTATCGAATGAAATGGCATTTCATTGGTGGTTTGCCGGATGTTACTAGTTGCCCAAACTGTCCAGAGCATGTAAAGGAAGAGGTGAGGTCTTTCATGCAAAAAAAAGAAATGGAAACCATAGAAAAAAAGATGAACTCAACTTACTCAAGAAGATTCGACTATAGTGACTATGATCTTGATGAAGATGATTATGTTGAAGTGCAAGGGGTAGTAGCAAAATGTCTCAAAGAAAAAAGCCAAGACAAAAAGGTCCTATAGATAAGTTCTTCGCTCCTAATCCCGAAGATGTTGTCAAAGGAAGAAAAGTTGAAAAATGAGGGAAGCAACAAACTATCAATGTCACGGTTCAAAAAGAGTTGAGGGAAAAAGTTTGTAAATATATAGCACGGTGGTTCTATGATGTGGGCATTCCTTTTCATGCCGCAAATTATGATAGCTTTAAGGTTATGATTGAAGCTATAGGACAATTTGGTCCGGGAATGAAACCACCAAGTATGTATGAGCTTAGAGTTCCATTACTCAAGCAAGAAGTAAAAGAGGTGGAAGAGCAAGTCAACGAACACAAGAAAGAATGGGCCGATAAAGGTTGCTCAATTCTATCGGATGGATGGAGTGATTCGGTTGTCCAAAAAGACATCGTTAACTTCATGGTGAACTCTCCAAAGGGTTCCATATTTGTTAAATCGATGGATGTTTCGGATGTCTCCAAGGATGCCAACTTGTTGTTTGGGATTCTTGACAAAATGGTAGATGAAGTTGGCGAAGAGAATGTGGTGCAAGTGATCACCGATAATGCATCCGCCTATGTCAAAGCAGGTAACATACTATTAAATTACTACTTACTAACATTTACTAATTTAGTATTTCTCTTTCATATATATATATATATATATATAATGCCACCTAATTGTTTATTTTAAACTTTGTAGGAAAGATGTTAGAAGCTACTAGAAAACATCTTTATTGGACTCCATGTGGGCACATTGCATAGATCTCATGTTAGAAGATATTGGAAGCAAATTCCGCAGGTGAAAAATTGTTTGAAAAAAGCAATGTCGGCAAACGGGTATATATACAGTTATGTTGGTCTAGTAAACTTGATGAGGAAGTTCACAAATCAAAGGAACTTGCATAGGCCCGCGATTACTCGATTTGCAACATCCTTTATCACTCTCCTTCAATTTCACAAGCAAAAAAATAACTTGAGGAACATGGTTGCTTCTCAAGAATGGATGGAGAGCAAGTGGTCTAAGGAACATAAGGGCAAATTGGTGCATTCTTACTTTTTACAAAAGACCTTTTGGAGGAACATTGCATATACACTCAAGTTGACGTGTCCTCTTGTTAGTATCCTTAGATTGGTTGATGGGGAAAAAAGGCCGGCCATGGGTTATATTTATGAAGCCATGGATAGGGCCAAGGAGTATTGCTAGAAGCTTCCCAAATCAAGAAGATCGTTACAAAAAAACATTTGAGATCATTGACCATAGGTGGGAACATCAACTCCACCGACCTTTGCATGCCGCGGGCCATTACTTAAACCCATCCATTTTCTATGATGATGTGAAGCGGATTGAAAGTTGTGAAGAAATAATGGATGGTTTACAATCTTGCATTGAAAGGTTGTCCCTGAATGCTCAAGTGGAAGACCAAACCATAAGAGAATTAAACAAGTATAAGAAAGCCGAAGGGATGTTTGGTAAAAGTTCGGCTATTAGGCAAAGGAAGCAAATGGCACCGGGTAAGAATAATTCTATAAATGTAGTAAATTAAAAATATGTTATTACTCTTATGCATACTGATTTTACTCTTCTAATGTTTTGCTCCTTGTAGCAGAATGGTGGGAAACATATGGAGCTTCGGCTCCTAACTTGCAAAAGTTTGCCATACGAGTTCTTAGTCTTACTTGTAGTGCCACAAGTTGTGAAAGAAATTGGGGCGTTTTTCAACACATAAGTGTAATAGTGTATATATATCTCAATTTCGTACTTTAATTAAAATATATTATCAATTAACATACAATTTAATTTTTGATAGCTTCACACCAAGAAGCGCAATAGGTTGACACAAGAAAGATTGAATGATATGGTTTATGTTAAATTCAATCATTCATTGCAACGCCGAAAGGGAACCTCTGATCCTATTGCTTTGGATGATATTGATGAAAGTAATGAATGGTTGATGGGTAGAATGGAAAATGATGAAGATGAAGAAGATTTGGTGTTTCTTGATGATGATCTTACATGGGATGCGGTGGGTAGAGCTTCTGGGGCTAATGAGCCAAGTCATTTCACTAGAGGATCAAGAAGAGGAGGTGATGATGGAGTCGGCCCATCAAGAAATGATAAAGGAAAAATACCTGCTCTTGTTGATGAAGATGAGATGGAGGAAGACATTGGAGTGACTGATGATGATGAGGGAGATGGAGACGTGCTCGGTTTGATGATGGGGATCTTGGAGACATTTAGTTTGTGACTAGAGAAAGTTTGGCGAACTCTGTGGGGGGAAGGGAAGTGGGAGCTATTGTTGATTTGTCTTTTGGTTGTTTTGATTTTCCTACGCATACTTGTCTATTATGTTATTTAACATTTATGAAGTACTATTAAACTACTTTTGGTATTAATTGATGTATTTTTATATATAAGTATTTACAGGGTATAAAATTAGTTCAAAAGTATTTTTTTTTGTGAAAATTAGCGCATCGGGTTCGTGATGCGAGCGCATCACGCATCACGCATCGTCTCTCGGGACACTAAACGCATCAGAGCGCATCTCGCATTTTAAAACCAAGTGCCCTTCTAACTTCTTTATGCGCCTCTTCTACACGAAGGTGCTCTTCTTTCTTGCAGCTTAAATTGATAGCTAGTTATGATAAATAAGTGACATTTACTTTAATTGAATATCCTGGATTGCTTCTCTTACCTCTTGGCTGAGAGCGCCCTTAATTTACATTCTTTGTAATCCTCTAACTGTTCTTTTAACAATATTTCTGCAGGTTGGGACCATTACATTTCTTACCTTGACAGGATTGCTTGTTTTTATGCTTTTCTTTCTAGCTGCAACTGTCAATGCTATCATCATCTCTTTCCTCATTGCTCTGGTTGCTGCAGGAGGCTTCTTGGCTATTTTCTTTGCCTGTGTAACAGTTATTTACATTGGGGCCTTGTCAATTGCTGCTTTTGTTATTTCTACTGCAACAATTTCAGCAATTATAGCTGCTCTTGTAGCTACAGGTATATCTTTCTCAGAATTTATTTTTCAGTTTTTACTTTGTTTCATTCTTATAAGTTTTGTCGGAACCTACGTCCCTAAATGAATTTCAGTCCTATAGAGTTGCCGAGGGTTATTTTAGATGATAACCCAAATGAAGTTTCAACAAGTATGCATATGGCATGTTTCAACAAGTATATCTTTCTCAGAATCTATTTTTCAGTTTTTACTTTGTTTCATTCTTATAAGTTTTGTCGGAACCTACGTCCCTAAATGAATTTCAGTCCTATAGAGTTGCTGAGGGTTATTTTAGATGATAACCCAAATGAAGTTTCAACAAGTATGCATATGGCATGTTTGGGTAAATCATTGCGATTATTTTCTACTCGTGGGGTGTCCTTCAGTGTCGCAGACGCAAAAATCAGTAGAAAAAATTATGATGGAAAACTAGTATGTGCGAGACTGGAAAACAAAATTTGCCACAGACCCACAGCCTATAAATGGGGATTTGAATTAGGTTTTTTTTTACTCTGCTGTGACTAGGGGTGTAAACGAGCCGAGTCGAGTTCGAGTATTGTGAGCTCGACTTGAAAACTCTGAAATGGAGCTCGACTCGACTCAAAAACTCGCAAGCTTAAAATTTTCAAACTCGACTCAAACTAGAAATCTTGAACTCAATTGAAAAGGCTCGAAATGAAAAAAAAAATCTTAAACTTAACTCAATTGAAGCCTCAAACTCGAACATGAACCTTAAATACATAAAAATTTTACTGTATTTAAAAAAAATTAATACATAAATGTTAATATTATTAATAATTTATTTTAAAAAAATAAAATCTTAATATATTATATTTTCGAGCTGCTCACGAGCTTTTCGAGTCGAATATCAAGTAGTTCGTTTCGGCTCGTTAAGAACTCGAGTCGAGTCCATTCGATCTGAATATTTATCGAGCCTTGATCGAGTCGATCTCGAGTAGCTCGCGATCTGTCTCGTCTCATTTACAGCCCTAACTGTGACCAATATTCATCTTACCAGCCAAGTTTGCTAAGCAATATGAGTGATCGAGCTTTTGTGTGCTAGTTTGGATGCCCTGATACACATTTGTTGCTGTAGTTTTCTTCTTTTGGCATTTAGATTTCATGCTATTCTGGTGTTATGTGCCCTCAAAATTGGAATGAATGGGATAAAATGTTTCAGTGCCAAAGTTGATATTCTTCATAGTGCATATTAAAGTAGTTTTGCTATAGAATGTATCTACAACGTTTTCTGCCGCTATTGCTTGAAGTGATGTTTCTTTTCTGGCATGGTTAACAAATTTTATACCACTTCAATAGTTATAAGTAATTATGGTGTTTCGTGTCCTCGTAATTGCTATCTCAAACTGTCTGGACCTGAAGCTTGAAATTCTTCGTAGCGAAAATCATGGTAGGCATTTTATTAGGCAACTTTAATTTTCTGGAGTCTTAGGTTTAATTTGATGTTTCCACATGAATCAGGGTGGGTTGGATTCTTCTTGGCTCTATGGTTGGGTACTAAGAAAAGCATGGACCTGGCAAAGCACTCGTTCACCATGACTGGCTCTGCTCTTTCATCTTATTCTTCTGCTCAGCATGTTCATTGCTACCAGGAGCTGAACAAAGATTCAGACTGAAACGCTTCGGTGAACGTAAGACCCCACTCCACACACTCATTCAGCATGGACATGTTGATTAATCGTAGATTAGAAGCATGTGAATGTGTTTTGAGTTTCGGCAGTTTTAGCAGCGATATAGTCGGTGTTCGGAGTTCATTCATTTTACAGGTGAATGGTGCTTGTATTTCTCATCCTCTAGAATTTAAAGGGGTGGATGATTAGCTTTTAGCCAGGAACCAAGTGATCAGTGCTTTATTATTGTTAGATTTTATGAAGGATGGAAAAAAATGTTATGTAAAAACATATTTATAAAATCGTTAAATAATTATTGATGGAGTGGTAATAAATTTTTTATGCGACTTATTGTGATACTGGTTCTCAAATATTGGCTTAGTTGTTTTTGACAGATGCATTAGCATTTTTTTAATGATTTTCATTGATCACCATTAATGATTTTATTTTAATTTCTTCGAATTTGAAAATGTCAATAAATTACTTTATGAAGCTTACAATTGAAAATGTCCTTCGAATCTGATTACATCAACGTTAGTTAAATTCTGATTCTTAAACAAAATTTAAGATGTACATCCTTGGAATCATAATTTATTTATTTTTCTAATTATTATTATCACTTATATAAAAATATTTTTGTAAAAAGTATTTAACAATAAAATTTTTATATATAAATAGATAGTATTCTTTATCAATGATTAAATAGTACTACATTTTTAATTATTTCATTTAAAAATATATAAAAAATCATTATAAACGTATTTATTAGATTATAGTATTTGAACAGAGAACGGAAGTAATGTGAGATTCAATTGGTGTGGTTATTGATTAATCAATTCCCAGGAATCAAAGAGGGGGAGGTAGAAGAAATGTGTCTAAACTAAATTCCGAACTACTACCGGTTGGGCGGTCAATTTCGTTGGTTCGGTTAACCACGGAAGGTGCCGACCGTGGAGTGCTTCTCACTCTTCCTACAAATACTAGCTGCTACTAAATAAACCTCTCTCTCTCTCTCTAAATATATAAGAGATTAAAACGGGTTTCTTTTCGCTCTTACTCCTTTCTCACTGCTGAGGAAGATGGAGAGAATAACGTCCTGTTTGGTTGCCATGGCTGTCGCCGCCTTTTGCTGCGTACCGCAGGTTAGATCCACTTCTTCCGATCATCGTTATAAAGCTGGAGATGATGTCCCTCTCTATGCTAATAAAGTAGGCCCCTACCATAATCCCAGGTATTCATCCATTTTGCTTTTCCATCTCAACTCTCAATTTTTAGCTTTCAATCTGAGTTTTTCTTTGTTTTTGCTTTCATTCACAGTGAGACCTACCGTTATTTCGATTTCCCATTCTGTTCCTCAGGTTCGATCTCATTTCGTGTCTATTTCTATTTTTTAGTTTTAAATCAGTTTTTTGGGAGTTCTAAATTGAGTAATTTGAGGGTTTGCTCTGCACTTTCAGCACCCGTGAAGGAGAAGAAGGAAGCTTTGGGTGAAGTCTTGAATGGCGATCGCCTAGTGAGTGCCCCTTACAAACTCGAGTTTTTGACCGAGAAAGAGGCTGAGATTGCCTGCAAAAGGAAGCTTACTAAGAAAGAAGTCGCCAAGTTTCGAGCTGCCGTCTCAAAAGACTATTACTTCCAAATGTACTACGACGACCTTCCCATTTGGGGTTTCTTAGGGAAAGTTGATAAGGAAGGCAAGGCCGATCCATCCGACTACAAATATCATCTCTTTAAGCATCTCATTTTTGAGATCCATTACAACAAGGATCGTGTCATTGAGGTTACTGTTCGATCTGATCCCAACGCCCTTGTGGACCTAACGGAAGATGAACCGATTGATGTAGATTTCATGTACACCGTTAAATGGAAGGAAACCAACACTCCTTTCGAGAAGAGAATGGACAAGTACTCGCTGTCTTCTTCCTTGCCTCACCATCTGGAAATCCACTGGTTCTCCATCATCAATTCATGTGTCACCGTTTTGTTATTGACTGGTTTCCTGGCTACTATTCTTATGCGAGTTCTTAAGAACGATTTCGTCAAGTACGTTCCATTTCTATCTGTATTTGATGCATGATAATCCATATCTAATTCTTAAGTATACTTGGCTTTGTTTTTAAATTCATGTATTCCTTTATAGGTATGCACATGATGACGAATATGCGGATGACCAGGAGGAGTCTGGGTGGAAGTATATTCATGGTGATGTGTTTAGGTTCCCCAAGAACAAGTCTTTTTTTTTGCGGCCGCTCTTGGTTGCGGCACCCAACTCTTTACTCTGTGAGTATCATCCTCCGAAGCTAATTGTCTTTTTGTTTCCGAACAATCTGTTGACTGTTGTTCATTTGCTTCCTTTTCCAGTACAATTTTCATTTTTATCCTTGCTCTAGTTGGGGTCTTTTATCCATATAACCGAGGAGCTCTTTTCACTGCTCTGGTGGTCATTTATGCCCTTACATCTGGAATTGCCGGCTATACTGCAGCGACTTTCTATGGTCAGCTAGAAGGAACAAATTGGGTGTGTAATATTGGTCTCTCTTACTGTTTCCTCTATTTGAAAATGTCGTGCAAAAATTTGAATTTCTTTTCTGTCATTTCTGATGACTGTTCGTACCCTTCTTCATGACAGGTGAGAAACTTATTACTGACCGGAAGCTTGTTTTGCGGGCCTCTTTTTGTCACATTTTGTTTTCTAAATACCGTTGCAATTGCTTATAAAGCCACCGCAGCTTTGCCATTTGGAACCATTGTGGTGATTCTTCTCATATGGGCTTTGGTCACATCACCTTTGTTAGTAATAGGAGGTATTGCTGGGAAGAATAGGAAGGAAGAGTTTCAAGCCCCTTGTCGCACAACAAAATATCCTAGAGAGATCCCACCATTACCTTGGTACCGAAAAACTCTTCCACAGATTGCAATGGCAGGTTTCTTGCCATTCAGTGCCATCTATATTGAACTTTATTATATATTTGCCAGTGTATGGGGACATAGGATCTACACCATATACAGCATCCTGTTTATTGTCTTTATCATTCTTTTGGTTGTCACTGCATTTGTCACTGTGGCTTTGACTTACTTTCAACTTGCTGCTGAAGACCATGAATGGTGGTGGAGGTATGTTGTTTTTAGCCTTCTGATATGCATAAGCACATGCATTCATAAGATCTCACAAAAAACATATGTTGACATATATGCAGTGCTGCTTGACGAATATTTTAAGATTTCTCATATTATTCTTGTATTTTACTATCTGTATGTATGTTTGTTGTTGCATTGTGTGGCATGGCTATCTCTGACTTTGCATAACTTCTTGTTTTGTAGATGGATTTTCGATATTATACGTTTTAATTGTTCTTATCTCCTCTAGAATTCAGAATCACAATCTCGATTTGTATTGTACTATTCCAAGCCAAAATATGAGAAACCTGACTCATTTTTCTGTCTATATTGGATCATTTGTGGAATTGTTTATATGAATCATTTTATGACTAACCAACATTCAAATACCATCTCGAGTGCGTCTTGTGTTGGGGTAATCAGCTGATCTTAACTGATATTTTATTTGGTCTATCAGGTCCTTCCTATGTGGTGGATCTACCGGGTTGTTCATATACGCATATTGTTTGTATTACTACGTAGCTCGGTCAGACATGTCAGGCTTCATGCAAACCTCATTCTTCTTTGGGTATATGGCTTGCATTTGCTATGGCTTCTTCCTCATGCTTGGGGCCATTGGCTTCCGTGCATCTCTGCTCTTTGTTCGACACATCTATCGTTCTATCAAGTGTGAGTAGGAAATGGGATGGTCTTCCTCTATTGCTTGATCGGAACCAAGTTGAATGGTTAGTTTATCAAAAGATTATACAATGACTACGAAAATGCAGACCGGATGCATGCGAGCTTCGGGGTGTTATTGCCACGTTGTATGAAGTATGAATCATTCTAAACCTTACTTGATGCCAACAAAAACTTGTATTTCTCACTTCACTCGTTCCCCTTTTGTTATTGGGATACACAGTTCAGGAAGAACTTTTGTTACTACCATGCTATATGTTAGCTTTAAAAACAATAACATATATCTACATTTTGCAGTCCTGTGTCCGCGTATTGTGCTGGCAACTGATTCAGAATGAACCCCATAATGTTGCAAATTTCATTTAAACATAAATGCGTACTCGACTTCAATTACATTAACCAAATCCGAGTTTATGATATTCCTAGAATCAACAAATTACTTGGTTATTTTAAATTATTTTTTATATTAGATCATAATAAAAATTCTATGTCATAAAAAAATAAAATAAAATAATTCAAAGTGACCAAAACATAAGCAATTTGAAAGTTTAGTGAGTAAATTAAAAAAATTGAAAATACAGTGGGTGAAATAGGAGAAAGAGTAAAGTTCAGTGAGAATTGGTGTTGTTTACCCAAAGAAAAAAATATAAATCAATAAACCAAAATCAAAGCTCAGAACATGCATGCATAAACTCTAATATTTTATTTAGGGTTTGAATGTTTCTTATCAAGCAAAGGATAATTGGTATCAAATGATATCTACTTAAGGATTAAGAATTTAGGTTTGGAATCATAAACACTTAAGATAATTTTGGAGATTTTGAATAATTTTCGTCTTACTTAATTCTTGAAGTGTTTATGAATGACTTCAAACACTATACAAAAATGAATTGAGAATTGAAATTATTTTTCACCAATCGGTTTGGAGTAGGGATGGGAATGGGAAGGGTTGGGTCGGATTTTTGGTCCACTCAACCCTACTCGAGAACAATAACTCTTCCACCTGAAATCCGATCCGACCCGCATAATATATACCATCTACTTGACCCGAATCCGACTTTTTGAAATAAAATCTGAACCTGACCCGACCCGAAATAATAAAATAGTATTTTTATTCAATAAAAACAATGATTTAATTGAAAAAATAATATATAGAGAGGTATTATTATAATTATTCTTAAATGTATAAGGTAAAATTATATTTTTCCGGAGTCGAGTCGGATCGGGTATTTTTCACCCTAAACCCGAACCCGATCCGACCCGAACACCACCTTTAAAAAAACCCGAGCCAAACCTAAAATTTTTTTAAAAAAAAACCCAACCCGATCAGGTCGAAACCTGTCAGATTCGGATCTTATGCCCATCCCAAGTTTAGAGTACAAAAAGGAAAGAAGCTTTTATTTAGGGTCTGTTTGTTTGCCTGTAATTGGTTTTCCGAAAAATGAATTACTGGAATTTGAATTACTGGAAAATGAATTACTGGAATTTGAATTCTGAAAAATGAATTACATTTCTGGTAAATGAATTACATTTCTGGAAAACATCTGGAAAACGTTTTATGA